CAGATTTTGGCAAAATTTGTAGTCTTCAGCATAATGGTAGCCACCATTAGCCTTAAATATCCAAACAGCTATTTATTTAATTTTTTTTGTCTCATCTAACATGACGTTTTTTTTCTGCAGATAGCATTTGGCCCATCCATGTGGAAATCTGCAGGGGATTTAATCTTGATTATAGAAATGTAAATTTCCTGCACACTTTAGTTTGCTGTGTGTTAACGGTGCTTTGCAGTGCTTTATAATCTAAGCCAATCACCTTTCAACTCCAAATGAAAAGTGACCCTAGCAGTCATATTACACCGATACATTGGCGGTCTGTTATTTTGTGCCACTATTACTGTTTTTTTTTCTTGCATTGGCATCGGCCAAAGCTCCCTCCTTTTCCTATCACTTGATATTTTGAATAGTTATTGAATGTTTCTATTTTATTTAAATTGAGAAGTGTTTAACCCTTGTTGTCACTATTACCGTGTAGATCAGGGAAGAAAAAAGCAATATATGCTTTATAAATTAGCAGCACATATCAGGGATCAGTTTGACTGATGTGAAAATAATCTGTGGTCCTTAGAAATCTGTGTAGGTTGATCTCTGCCTGTATAATGTTTTAACTGATGATTGAAATTTGCACGTCTTTCAAAATGGCCCAAAATTATTTTCAACTATTCCAAACCTACGGGTCTCCTTCAGAGATTTTCTCTGCATTTCTTTTATCGTTCCCATTGATTGCGGTTTTGTTTAGTAGAAGAAATTTTGTTTTTTTTTATTATTTAATTTATGCTGCTTATAAACTATTTGCCCAAACCAATCATGATCTGCTGACCAGAAGTATTAATGAACATAAAGTTCTAAAACCTCCAGCAACACCTGTTAAAGGTTTAAGGCTTAATATATGAATGTATTTCACCCTGTATGTTAAATTCTGACCTTTTCTGGATTAGAGAAAATTCACAACTACGGTAGTTATTAAACTGGTATTTTTGGAAGGCTTTTAGCAAGCGTTTTTTTTTATTCTGGCTCGATATTTTTTCTTTTATTGGTTTTCATCAGTTTAAAAAACTCTGTTGTGGATAAATGTTTTTAATCATTGTCCCTTTGGAACATTAAACTGCACCATTGCTTTTTCTTCAGTCAATTTTTATGAATAAACCTGAGGCAGTGAAACGGCCCCACAGCATGATGCTTCCACCATTATGCGTATGTATACAAGCTAACTTCTTGCTCCACTTTTATCAGACAAACGCCTTTAAACTCAGTGCTTCCAGAAGAAAAACAAGTGGCTGCATTTAGTTCTTGTTTCATGGAAAACAAGAACAAGGTGGAGGGTCCTTGTCTCAAGGGGAGGAGTTCAAGTATCTCGGGGAGGGACGGATGGAGCGTGAGATTGAGATCGGCAGTAATGCGGTCTCTGTATCAGACTGTCGTGGTGAAGAGGGAGCTAAATTGGGGGGCAAAGCTCTCGATTTATTGATCGATCTATGCTCCCATCCTCACCTATGGTCATGAGATCTGCGTAATGGCCGAAGGGACAAGATCGCAAATACAAGCGGCCAAAATGAGTTTCCTTTGCAGTGTAGCTGGGCACACCCTTGCAGATTGGGTGAGGAGCTCGGTTACCCGGGAGGAGATACGAGTAGAGTCTTTGCTCCTCCACGTGGAAAGGAGCCAGCTGAGGTGGCTCGGGCATCTGTTTCGGATGCCTTCTGGTCGCCACCCTCGGCTGGTTTTCCAGGCATGTCCCACTGGGAGGAGGCCTCGAGGAAGGCCCAGGACATGTTGGAGGGACTACGTCTCTGAGCTGACCTGGTGTCGCCTTGGGTTCCCCCAGAGTAGCCTGACGAAGTGTGCGTGGATCGGGAAGTCTGGGCATCTTTGCTTAGACTGCTGCCTCCACAACCAGGCCCTGGAGAAGCGGAAGAAGATGGATGGATGGAAAATAACTACAGTAGTAGTAAAATATGACAACCTTTCCCACAATGAGTACATATAAAGTTCGACTGACCTCCTGTGTGACCCGTTCCTCTCTCGTCTAATCTGCTCCGACACTGCCTGTGACCCTTGACCTCCTGGAGCCCAGACCTGTCAGCCAAACAGACTCTCATTAAGAGGAAACACACTCTAACACCAACTTCTACAAAAATTAATTCATGTTTCTTATGCAGTTTCTGCTTCCAGATCACCATTGCTCACTCACATGATTAGCCGTGTTTCACATCCATGATGAAGAAAGTCTTTGAGCAGCTTTCCTGCTAAATGTGTGTGGGTTTTTTTTTTCTCTCTGTATTGCTGAGTTGGTTCCTGCCATGAATGAGTCAGTATGTGTAGTAATATCTCCTCCATCTTGTGATTAAGAAGCAAACATCTTCCCTCCAGGGGGGAGCTTCATCTAGATGGTTGAACAAAATAAATTTACTGGCCCTTAGGGTGATCAGTGATTTTAGCAAGTCTGCCACAGTTATATATAAATTTAGTCCTTCCATTGTCTGTCTTATACTGTATGTGTTAGACTGGATGGGCAGAAATGTGACGGTTGGTGCTGTTCAGTCTGCACACACCAGAATGGGAGCGTTTATTTCTGGCTACGGCAGGATAAACAAAAGATGAAGGCTGGATTTGTTTAGCTTGGATGTGGAACAAGAGCATCGCCTTATCGGGCCGTCATAACATCAGACTGCAGACTCTGCCTTGGCCCACATAGAACTCTAATTGTTTCCTTTTTTAATTTCTAGGCTCTAAAACCTTCATTTTCTGTGTCTTGATGATGTTTTATGACTTCCCATTTTTAATGGTTGCCTCGTTGTTCTGCAGATCTGGCCTTTTTTGACTGTTTTGTGTTTCTTGTTTTATTGTTTTGTTATTAATCTGTGGTTATTGTACTGTAGATAACTTTTATCACTAATATAAGGATATTCAGTTAGTTTGGGGATTTTCAGATACTCCTGTATTGTCAGATACTCAAAGTATTGAAATACAGATGAAAAATCTGCATTAATTGCATGACGATGCCATTAAGATGCCGTTATGCTGTAGATGTTTATTTAGTTTCTGACTGTAAAGCAGTCCAAACTATTAGTAGATGCACTTTTGCCGGTAAGTGTCTGGCAGGGGTGAGTTTCTAAAGCTTTGGGGGGAACAGAAACACCCCATGATGTTCTTATCTGAATGTAAAAACACAGCAGTCTGATGTGTTTGGACTGCAGGCTGTAACTTATCCCAGAGAGATGTAATGTGTCTGTTGGTGAAAAGGTTAACATGTGACTGAGTGTAAAGATAAAAAATGTTCCTACTTGTACCAGCAGTAATAACAATAACAATCATAGAAATACATAGTTTTTGCAGAGCAGACCTTGTTTATGAAAAATATTAAGGAATCATATTTTTGCTAAACACTATTGATCAAAAACTTTAACTATTTCTCATTGTCCATCCCACTTAGGGCTGTGCAATATGGCTGAAAATAGATCACATTAAAAACCTTTTATATCAGTTGATATCAAAAATATTGAAATGAGGATCAGGGGAAAAAACGACATTTACATTTGTCCTCTAACCCTTTTTAAACACAACCTTTAATGCTCAAAAATTGTCAGCCCTATGGTCAACCTTGTTGTTGAATGGTGGCCTGGTGGTTAGAGCAGTGCGCTTGTGCTCTGAGACAGTTGCAAGTACCCGGTTCGATCCCCACAGAGTCCCTGAGCAGAACCCTTAACCCCACACTGCTCCCCAGGAGCCGCACAATGGAAGCCCACTGCTCCCTAAAGGGAAGGGTCACATGCAGAGGTGAATTTTCTGCAGTGTGAGATCACTAAAGTTGAATAAAATAATTTTTTATGATTATTATTATTATCCTTGGTTGGTCTGGCTGTGAGAGGTTGAGAGGCTAAATCTTTTCCTGTGTCTACATCCCCCAGAATGCCATGTGGTTCTGGACTGGAGTTTAGTGGAATTCTTAAAAAATGATATTGTAATTGATCAGTTTTTAAATATCATCGATATACGCTGATATTGAATTATTGAGTTATTATCACCCAGACCTAATTCCAGTCTTTATGAGTTCAGTATTTTCAGTCCCCATAATATACATCAAGCTTGGGTAGAGGAGATGAAACGATACAGTTTATTTTTATTGACCGATGCTGTTTATTCTGACATCAGTCTAACCGATCCTCGATATGTACCCCCGATTTTTGGTTAGGGAAGATTATTCAAGCCAATATCGCCTTTTTTTCCTTCAGTTACGATGCATTCATTACAGATGTTACACAAAAGTGAACTTAAATCTACCAAAATACCATACCAAAGGGAGCCAACATTGATGCATTGGCTGAAGCCAGCACAAGAAAAAAAATACTAATATCTACCAAGAATACCTGCAACCAATGCGTGAATCTTTCCCTGCTAGGTGGTTATTAGAGCAAAAGGTCGTCCAACTGCTAAATATATAACAGACTATAAAATTCGGCCTATATGTTATGTTATTCTTTTCTTTAGGAGCTATGGTTTCATTTAAATATGAATGAAACTGTGATCATGGTTTCAATGTCAAATAAATCTGTGCTCCTATGTTTTGGTGAAATCGCTCTTCTATATATATAGGAAACATTTTGTCTTTAAGGATCCGGATTATCCGCCTGCCTGGATTCTGGGTTCATCACAGAAACTGACACACAATGGTGAAGAAGTTAAGAGGAAGTGGATTAAGTTTCTGATATATTGGCCATCTTGGACATAGTTTATTGTTGTTTGGGGGGGAATTAGGGATGTTGATCTTATTTTGAATCTGTCTGGCTGTTGGTTCAAAGCAGTTTGCATCTCTTTCTAATGCTTTCTGTTTCTCACTCTTCTCTTGGATAAACCAGAGATTTAAACAATCAGATCAAAAGATTAACTTCACATGCTGACTGTTTGCACATTAAAATACCTAATACATAATGTGTTAAGGTTTTCTCTAAGCCCAGTGTGCCGTTTTTAATGATGCCTCCCTCTTTATCTACCTGTGCCCTCAGGATGACTGGCCGGGAGTTTTTCACCCGTTTTCCAGCTCTCTATCCGTTCCTCCTCACCCAGCTGGAGGAGGCTGCTGCCACTGTGCAAAGGTGAGCTGACTCATGCTCCTTGAATTCTGGGTTTGTCCTCCAAAAAGGCTTGTTGAGCTAAAATTGAAGGTCCTTTAATGTTTCATTAACTCTGATGTAAAGTTTTTTTTTTTCCTTGGGAGGAAAAATAACGAAACTATTTATTTTCTGCAGATTAAATTCCATCGCTGTGTATTTTGTTCTCATGTGCCTTACAGCTTCTTCCTTATCACTTCCTCACTTTGACTGATTATTTGGTCAAAGCACTGAGCTTTACAGCCCAATAAAGTAAATGTCTTGCTTGGGTTTAGTTCTGTTTTTTTGCAGTGGAGGGTTGAGTCCACTGAGGTTCATTGGCCTTATCTCCATCAGCTCCCCCTCTTTTAAAAGCACCAGAGTGGTCCAGCAGCTCCCCGGGCCGCCTTATCTTAATATGGATCCAATTAATTGAAAGCTCTCTCAGACCGGCTCTTTCACAATTCCCCTCTCACTCCCTTCGACCCTTGTTAAAACATCTGCAAATTTCCCACGGAACCGGACCCCGGCTGTCTGACTTCCCTCTTCGCTTTCAGTGCGTCGCACCACCCAACAGGACCGACCGCACCGTGCTATAGGAATACACAGCAGGACAGGAGGCGGCAGAGCAGCTGTTTGTGGTTTCCAACTGAACTTACAGAACGAGACGCTTCCAAAATAGAAGAGAGCCTTTCTAAGGTCGTGTTTTCCTGCGGACGTATGCATGTTTTGTTTTGTAAATCAGCCCAAACAAAGATCCAGAAAAAATATAGTTCATCATGATGAAGCAAACAGTAGAAAACAAACAACAAAGAATTTGCTGAGAAAACACACAGTTAACCAAAAAAAAAAGAAAACAAACCTTCTCTGTGCTGTTTTTAAATATCTGCATAAGGTTCAGTCAGTGCATGAAGCTCACACACATGTCCTCACATTTAGTGCAATGCAGATGCCAAACTGCATCCCAGTCCATTACTGCAACCTATCAACATTGTGAATAGTTTTAGTTGTTTTGCTTTTTTTAATTATTATTTTTGCTCTTAATTCTAAGACCTTAGGGTTGCATGAATATCAAAGTTTACCATAGACTTCAGTTTAAAATAATGGTACAATAAACAAAAAAAAAAAACTTTATTCAGCAGCTAAAAACAAATTTTTTTGTGTTTTTATTGTATGTTTTTTTAACTTCAAACAGTGGCTAGGACATTTTCCTGGATTATATTCTATCGATAGACCGACTTGCATAGATAATGCTACACTAGGGCAAAGGTAAGAGTAGGAATTTCTTACGTAACTTTGGCTTTTTTTGGACTTGCTTTGTTTTGGACCTAAACCTTAGCTCAGTTTTGTCTTGTAAGAGCAATATTAACATACTAGTAAAGACGCATCAGCTGAGTAATTAAGCTACGTGTTATGAAATGTTAACAGACCTTTAGGTTAGTTAACCTTTTTTTTTTACAATATCACTACTCATTTAAAGTAAAAATAAATCAAGGTTCGAAACAAGGCAGGAGATTTTTGGTACATAGTCGTCTACCTTTCCAATATTGTTCCACTTCGTATTAATGGGTGATGTCCTGAAATTAAATTAAATAGCTTAATTGTAGAAAACAAACAACAAAGAATTTGCTGAGAAAACACACAGTTAACCAAAAAAAAAAAGAAAACAAACCTTCTCTGTGCTGCTTTTAAATATCTGCATAAGGTTCAGTCAGTGCATGAAGCTCACATACATGTCCTCACATTTAGTGCAATGCAGATGAACCAAACTGCATCCCAGTCCATTACTGCAACCTATTAACAATGTGAATAGTTTTAGTTGTTTTGCTTTTTTTAATTATTATTTTTGCTCTTAATTCTAAGACCTTAGGGTTGCATGAATATCAAAGTTTACCATAGACTTCAGTTTAAAATAATGGTACAATAAACAAAAAAAAAAAACTTTATTCAGCAGCTTAAAACAAATTTTTGTATGTATGTTTTTTTAACTTCAAACAGTGGCTATGACATTTTCCTGGATTATATTCTATTGATAGACCGACTTGCATAGATAATGCTACACTAGGGCAAAGGTAAGAGTAGGAATTTCTTACGTAACGCATCAGCTGAGTAATTAAGCTACGTGTTATGAAATATTAACAGACCTTTAGGTTAGTTAACCTTTTTTTACAATATCACTACTCATTTAAATAAATCAAGGTTTGAAACAAGGCAGGAGATTTTTGGTACATAGTCGTCTACCTTTCCAATATTGTTCCACTTCGTATTAATGGATTATATCCTGAAATTAAATTAAATAGCTTAATTGTTTGTAGACATTCATCCAGTGAATACATGTTTTATTTGATGCATTTGGGAGTGTTGGCCTAGTGGTTACAGCAGTGTGTTTGTGTTCTGAGAAGGTTGCAAGAATGCGGTCTGAACTCTGGGTTCCTGGGCAAAACCCTTAACCTCACATTGCTACCTGAGCGCTGCACAATGGCTGCCCACTGCTCCCTAAGGGGATGGGTTAAATGCAGAGGTAAAGTTCTCCAATGTGAGAACAATTAAGTTCAGTTATTATTATTTTTGGAGGTTTTATTTTCCCTAATGGGATAAAAACCCAGAGCCAAACAAAAACCCCAGTTTCCTATAGATTAGTTATGAAACTCCTGTTTACTCCTTTCTAAAAGACACTTTTCTTAGTTGTTATTTTTATTGATAAATGATAGATGACCAGCTTTAGAGTGAATCATTTGATTTGTTCCTTCTATTATTAAGTTGAAATATTTAGGTCTTTTTTTCTTTCTTAAAAACATTTTGTGTGAAAAAAAATCATAGCTTAAAAAACAAGCTTTGGGAAAAGTTTAAAAGTTCTAATTCTTGTTTTGGACCAAAGCTTTGGAAAAAGTGTATTGAAATACTTTGGAGGCAATGGAGGAGGGGCTAAACTAGAACCTTTTTTTCATGCCGTATGGCTCAGCATCTTTTATTTGTTGTTTTTGTTTAAGTTTTTGAAAGTATGCAATGTATAGTTTTTCCACATTTTAATAGTTTAAATTTTTATTGCCAAATGTTTAAAATTCTGTTTTATGTTTTAAAGAAGTAGAGTCTAAAAATGTTTTTCCACATTCCTTTCTATTAATATTTTACCAAATTACACCTGGATTTATTCATTTCTCCCATCTGTGGTTTAAGTTTTATCTGCCTGGCTGAATGTAAGCACATTTAAAAATAAAAAAAGAAGCTCTTTTATTGCATGCTTAAGGATGAACTGAAGTTAGACTGAAAAGTAAAATAAAGCACAAAATTTTGCATTTCTATTAATTTTGGGAAGCAAAAATAAAGGAACCAGGGATCAAAAATAGTGTTTAAAGATCCGGCTTGTTTATTGCTGCAACAAGCTACATCATATGAGGACAGATTTCACCAAATATTAGAGGTTGTTGACGATATATTCAAAGTTATTTGTACATACTGTATTTGATCCAGTAGGAGTCAAGAATGTTCAAATTAATTACCAAGATAACTATAAACTATTAAAAGGGTAGAACTTTTGGCAGTATTGTCCACCATATGTAAACTCTCTATGATAGCATCACAGCATGATGGAGCCACCGCCATGCTCCGCATGCTGGAAAGCAATAACAGCTGAGCTTGGTTTGAATGCTTTGTTAAATACTTTTATATACCTCATAGTATAAGTACAACACAGACTGTTTACCTTTAACCATGCTTCTTTTTCCAGGGTTCAAACAAATGACTAAAAGGCCAAAGGAATGTTGTGTACACTCCCATGATGACGATATTTCTCCCTAAATTGTTTTTCCCTAAAGACTGTTACATAGAGCCGAGTCTCAACTTACGGGAAGATACCAACTGATGTGTACGATTTATTTGTTGACTTTATTATCTCAGCGTAGCCATAATTTTGAACTTGGTGTACCCGGGTTTTATCTCAGAAACTATTTCAGGTCAGTCCTCTAATTTCTAACTGCTGTGATAAGTTGCAGTTCTCCATCTTATCTAAGGCTGACTTTGCTTCCAAAGAAAACAGGCTCTGTATCATAATTTAGCGCTTTTTGAAACAGAGCTGATGATTTATTTGTCTGAGGGTAAAATAAGTTGAAAGCTAAAGCTTCAGTTTACTTTAGATATTCTTTTGTTTACGTCTCTGCTACCATATCCTGTCCCTCTGATTGAAGATTTCAGAATCCTAAGGTCACCTTATTGTTTGCTCACGTAAAAATCTTGAATTTGCTGGAGATGTAAAAAAAAAAGAGAGACTATAGAGGCAGTGGAAGTTCCCCTAAATGCAACAAGTTCCTCCCTGTGGAGGGTTAATGCTTTCAGCTGCATCCCAACACGGCCTCTGTGCTGAATGTGTGACCTCACATCCTCTCCTGCTGAGCTTGACTGAACTCGGAGTTTAAACATTTTTGACCGGCTTCTAATTGGCTGCTATTACATTTCCCATGAAGCCGAATGGAATAATGAAAAGCACACGTTGTTTTGCAGGGGGTCTCTTGTTCTGCGTCTGCTCTGTGACAGGTCTCGAAGGACACGGCGCTCACGCGCCTTTGGTAACGTAAGCAAAAACGTTGATATTTACAGACCTTCACAGACCACAGCTGTGAGCCCTCATTAAAATATAAACAAAGGGAGTTTTTTTAACAGCACGTTGTCCCCATGAACATAACAGGAAAAAGAAATACTAAAACTCCTGTAATACGAAACTTTTTTTTTTTCCCCCTGTGAGTCAGAGTGAAAATTGTGAAGGATTTGGCAGAGATGGACACTTTCCTCTCTGACTCAGCTACAATTGATGAGGTTTATATGAAGGAGATAGAGGGAGATTAAAGCCTCAGTGCAAAGATGGATGAGGAGATGCCAGTTGTAGAAATACTGTTATTAAAAAACCTGCAAATTCATAGCACATATTTTTGCTATGAACTTATAAGATGTTTTATGGGTGTCAACAACACTAATCATAAGTTCTGAAAAGCTATTGCAACAGCAAACCTAATCTGATGCACTAATCAGAGATCTTTTAAGTCTCTCATTTTTAACTTATGTTGGATTGGTCCAAATTCTCTTTAAGAATGATAAATATCTATTCTACTTTTAGGAGAGATTGAAAGTTAAAATAGCTCAATAATTAAATATTTTACTGTAGAATAAACCAGCAATTTCTCAAATAAAGCCCAGAGTTAAAGAGCTGCCTTCCTCTGCATAAGTGAGAATGTAATACAGTTCTCAAGGCTGCACAGTCTGACAGATTTTAAACGCTTTCTGTATCTTTAGCATTTAGAACAGGCAGCACAGGTTTTCAATTTATTTATAATAAGCACCAGCTCACAACAGATATAATATCAAGTCACTTTAAAGGAAAAGGTCAAATCACTTCATTACACAGTTGGATTCGATGAGTTTTCTTGTGGTAAAGGGGGAAAGGAAATCTCCGCTTTAAGAGGAAAAAACTTTCGACAGAACCAGGACCAATGTGAACTTCAGTCTGCCTCAACCGACTGTCTATGCTTTGTCTTAAACCCTCAAAGAGGCATCCAACTAGAACCCATGGGGAAAGTAGCTCCTTTAGGCGCTTGATCCAGAAAACTGCAAATTGGATCTCAGTATGGCAATTATATTGTAAGCTATGCTGTTTTTACAGTTCTTAAAAAAATTAAACAATCTTTTTTTCCCTACATTACAAATCTTACAAAGTTCTCAATCAGTTTAAAACCCAGGACTGGCTCATCTCATAAAAAAAGCATTTCTGAAATATACCCAGTGACTGGTAGATGTTGGAAAGATTATTTGTTTCCAACTCAAATAACATTCCTTTTTTCCCAGATAAAATGTTCCATCCTTTCCATAATTCATTCCATATCTCGTTGCTGTCTCTCAACTGCTGCCTGCTTTGACTAAACATCACGTTGTCATCTGCAAACATCATAATCCACTTGTTATAAATGGTAAAATTGTGAAATAAACAATTTAGCAAATGAAAACTTCTATAGATCTTTATCACTTTTACACCCTTTTTACCCTGCATTTGGTCATTCATTCACCCATTCAGCACTCTGATGGTGGTAAGCTACATAGTAGCCACAGCTGCCCTCTTAGAGCAGACAAGGCAGATGGAGTTTGTTGCTCAAGGATTGATTCCAATCCACCGATTACAAGACAAACCCCTACATCCTGAGGCTCAGTCTCCCAACGTAATAAAAAACAAACATATACTGTATACCCATTTCACTTGTTTATTTTCACCAGGTAAACCAATATTACAACTGAAAATTCAGAAATAAACATTTGCGACATGCAAAAACAAACAAATCAGTGACCAATATAGTCAACTTTCTTCACCATGATGCTCAAAAGCCTTCCATCCATAGATTATGTCAGTGTCTTGATCTGTTTGCGATCCACATTGCGAGCAGCAGCCACCACATCCTCCCAGACACTGTTCTGAGAGGTTGACTGTTTTCCCTCCCTGTAGATCTCACATTTCAAGAAGGACCACAGGTTCTCGAGGGAGTTCAGATCAGGTGAACAAGGGAGCCATGTCATTATTTTTTCTCCCTTTAGATTTTTTCTGGCCAGCCACACTGTGGTGTATTTTAATGAGTGTTTTGGAGCATTGTCCTGTATGAATATCATGTTTTTCTTGAATGATGGAGACTTGTTCTTCCAGAAACTGGCGGTAGGTCTGGGAGTTGATCTTGACTCCATCATCAACCCGAAAAGGCTCATCCCACAAGCTCATCTTTGATGATAACAGCCCGTACCAGTACCCCACCTCCACCTTGCGGGCCAAGAAATATCTGAATCAGTCTTCAGATATTTCTTGGCCCAATCTTCACGTATTGTCTTGTGCGTCTTGTTCAAAGGTGGCCTTTTTTCGGCTTTCCTTACCTTGGCCAGGACCCTGAGTATTGAGCACCTTGTGCTGCTCGGCATTCCAGACATGTTGCTTCACGCTTGATCCCTCTCAATTCATGGGGAATTATTTTGTGTCTTCTTTTTTCAACACACTTCTTGTGCCCCTTTTGGCGATTTGCCATTAACCGCTTGATTGTTGTTGTTTTTTTGGGTCATCAAAGCTGGGCCACAACAAGCCCATTGGTTAATATTAGATGGGTTAGTTGTTCTCATACCTACCTATTGTTTAGCATTATTCTCTGTTTTAGTAATATACCATGTACAACGTACAAAATAAGTTCAAAAAAATAATTTTATGATTTGTGCTAATATAGTATTGGGTCAATACCTGTCTCAAAGCTGTAAATCTGTATCACATTAGAAATGAAAAACGTTGTATCTGAACACCCCTACCTCTTAATGAATATATATACCAAGAAATACTATAAGATAAAATACTTCTCTAAAAATCAGTTATCTTTGTAAACATGTCATTGTTGTGTGTTTGTTTTAGTGACAGCGGTCATGTAAAGCTCCATCCCAGCCTGTTCTTGCTGCTACTGGTGCTCAGCCGCCTGTATCCTTCTCCCATGGATGGAACATTCTCTCCTCTGGGACTCGCTCCTTTCATTCCCTTAATAATAAGGTAGGTGCAACGCTGAGCTTTGTTTACCTTTTTAGAGAATGAGGGAAATTTTCTTTCCATAACCGACAAAGCTAACTACTAACAAATACAACCAATAACAATGTATTTCTATGCTTTTTATTGATTCAAACCCCGTTGCTACATACTAACCCACAGACTTTGTATAGCACTGTGTGAATCATTAACTTAATTAGATTACAAATATCAGAAAAGCAACAAAAGCTCACTTAGTACACTTAGTATAATTCCCCTAAAGATGGTTACCACATATTTCCCCATCACTTGCATTAACATGAATTTGATATTTTCTTCCTGTGAAAACCAAAGTTGTGTTCAGTTGTTGCTGCCAGCATGCTCCTAGCACCATAACTGTAAAGCAGGTGATTGCAGGCTACCGCTCTGATATTTTACCATCGGCAAACCCCTTTAATAATCTGCACAATAATTACTGGGAAATCAAAAGATTCACATTACACTGGTGTTTCAAGTGTCATGCGTACCAAAACCATAACGTAGACAAACGTACTTTAGTAACTAAGATTTAAAGGTAAAGAGGAAAATCCAGGTGGATCATCTAAAGTGTTCCTTCTATTTGTCAATCATTCTGGATTCTGTAAGGCTGTCCTAAGTGCTCGTCCCTTTAGCTATCTTTTTCTGTGCATGCGCACTTTTTGGCGTATATCTATCGTGAGCTACGGTTTCAGCCGGTAATTGGAGCTCACCTTTCTTACTGCAGTTCTTCGAAAATGGCAGAGGGTCGTAAGAAAATGTGTCTACAAAGTATATGAGAAGGAAAAAAAGGACTCAGAAGAGGCAGATATATCCCAGAATGCTTTGCGTGGAGAGCTCACCTCGCAAAGCATTTATACAGCGGCTCGCTGTCGCTACCCAACAGCAGCGACTAACAAAGATGCTGCAGACACCGTGCGGTGGAGCAGGAGTCACGTGACCAACAGAACAAAAAGCAGTGATCATCTGTCCCAACGGTCAGTTAACTGAGACTATATAGTCCCTGCTGTATGTGGACACAGTAAGCTTGTATGAGCTATGAGAACCGCACATTTTAAACAGGGCGTGCACGAGGAGAAATACGCTCGTGCATGCTCTTGCACGCACATTTTTTTGAAAGTGGAAAGGGCGGGTCTTTTAAAAAATACCTTTAACAGTAGCGTTTTTCTAGAGATAACCGTAAATCATAGTATTTTTACTTAATGTCGTTACACTGGGCAATTCTGGTGAATTGCAATATTACACACAGTGGTATTATGAGGTCTTTAACCTGCTCTGTTTCTCACCAGTATTATAATAGATAGACAAAACATGGCAACATGTGAGCTGCAGATTCTGCTTTGTGTCATCCTTGCAAATAATGGCCTCTTTCAATCACGTGGTTTGTTTATATACATTCACAATAAGCAATGCTGACAGAGGAATGTGTTTGTAACTTACTGAAAGAACTTTTTCCTAAAGGCTTCATCTTAGATTAGTGAGGAAAAAAGCATCTGTAGCATAAACAGTAGTATAGCTGTAAGCTTTATATTAATACTGACACAGGTTTCATCATGACATTTTATTAATGGGGTCACCCTTTTTAATACTTCATCTTGTAGATCTTTATTTTGTCCATTTTGGAGTTTATTTTGGGCGGGGTGAGATAAGCTTTCTGTTTTGTGCAGTGGTTTGTTTCTGTTTTTGTCTACTGAAACAGCTGTCCAAACCAGCATGTTTTTCCTGTGATAGCCTGTTCTTCCTTGGTTGTTTGACTTTGCAGCCTGTTAAGATGTTTTCTTTCTCCCCTTTTGTTGTGAACCTAACAGACAAATTGAAAACTGTAGTCCCAGCCTTCGTATTTTACATTCCTCGGATGGAGATCGAGTCAAATATGTGTGGAAAAAGTAGTTGGGAGGAGTCTCATTGGCTCTCACCGTAGAACTCAGTCCAAAGGTTGGCATCTTGTATTCCCTCCAATATAACCTGCAATTCCAGTAAGAATTGCAGGTTATATTTTTTAAATGTACAACCTGTCAGAGGAGAGTGGAAAAATAGTCTTGCTCATGTTTTTGGCTTTAGGTGCAACATGTCAGGATTGATTTTCTTTTGCAGAGTGAAACGCATTTGTTTTGTTTTTTAAAGAAGACTAATCTTTCCTTCTTTCACTCTAGGCTATTTCCATTGCCTATGTTCTGTCTAATTTAAGCTGATTGTCTGTTTTGGAGAGGAAATAAAGCAGTGTAAACCTCGAAGGTTAATGAAAAACTGCTAATGTGTTGATTAGTTACACACAGAGGGATATATCTTGTAGCCAATGTCAACCAAAAATGTAGTTTCTCAGAGAATTATAATAAAACAGATTACTAATACACAAAGGATTTTTAAGCCTGGGAAAAATGGGTCCTTTATTCTAAAATATCTGATCTCCAAACTTGGTAGAGGCTCCTTATGCATGAGTTAATGCATCAGTGCAGGACGGACTGCCGAGTTTATCACACTATAGCCTTTTAATACAAAGTGTGTGACATGAAGGAAAGAAACCTTTGCTTTTTTTTTTAGCTGAATTACTGCAATAATTACTTTTGTTTCTAGTTTATTGCTAAATACATGTATATTGGACATTGTTGTTCAAATGTGCAGAATGAGGCTGAAGTGGATAACTTTATCTTTCCCTTCCCTTTATCAGATGGTTGCAGGTTTTTCACATTGTGGTTGACTTAATAAATGGGGTTAGTTTTTATGCTGTTTGATTTAAAGAGACATTTTTGTTAGTTTTAAATAAAAAAAATATCTCTTAAATAGCCTTTTTACTTTACCCTCTACAACTAAAACATTGTTTAATGAGCAAATTGAAACCTCAAGTTCAGCACTGATGCATCTATAAGCCCTGTTGCCTGTCGGAATTTCCTGCGCTGTTCTGCGGATGTGACGCCACCTTCAATGGGTGCAACCTCGGAAACGGTTGTAATATAAAGCAAAAGCTCAATATTGCTTTATAGAGCTGCAGTTCTGTGTTTGGGCCACAGGGGGAAGTATCATTAGAAAACTCTGTAACTCAACTTTAAATGTATAGAGAACAGAAATCCAGACAAAGGCATTAGAAAGCTGTTCATTTATATCTTATTGAATAAATCTTGTACTTGATTCCCAGAAAAATAAAAACATTTAGGTACATTTTTGCAGTATTGGTTTTGGAAAAGACAGAAATAATATAGTTGATGTAGCAGTTCACCAGGTTTGTAGACACCAAGGATGATATTTGACCCCAAACTCTATGGAGATTTTATTTATCCATTAGATTTCTTGATCGCTAAATCAGCAGATTAACTTAAAACACCTGCAATGATTCTCTGAGCAGGTAAATTGTCTCTCGGTCTGTGTCAGAAGGTTCTTAAAACATTGGGAAGACAGTTTACTGGACACACGTCCATGTGATGGTTATTGATACCCTCCACATGAAGGTAAGCCAAAAAGGTCACAGTGCCGATCCCAACCATATTCACAGAAGGTTAAGTTTGAAAAAAAAATAAGACACCAGACCAGATATCCTGAAGCAACCTGGGCGTCCATTACAGAGTCCCAGGCTGATGGGCCTACATCCCACTTAACATTAAAGCATTGCATTATTGATCTTGGTAATATTTTCACATTGTGAGAGTCTGGATTTGGGGTTTCAGGAAAATATTTCACTGAATGTGTTCTGAATCTGTATAAGGTTTTGTTTTTCTATATAAGGTTTTACTTTAATTATATAAGTGTACTCTGACTTGTTGTCCAGCAACAGTCTCAGTAAAGACTCCAGGATTATACTCTTCCCACACACCTCCTCCAGCTCTGTTTGGGAAAGCTAGAAGTGATCCCAGGACAAAAGACATAGTCTCTCCAGCGTGTCCTGGGGCGTCCCTGGGCCTCTTCCTGGTGGGACTTGTCTGGAACACCTCCTTCCATCGAGTCCCCTCCTTGTGGTGTTAAATGTCCTTGGTAGGGTCTCCCAAGGCAAACAGGTTCTGGATGACGACTCAGTCAAAGAGTTGTTTAAAATGCCCTTATGAAGACAAAAAACAGGACGCCGCTCCGTATGGCACAGCCGGGACCCAACCCTGGAGAGCCTTCTGGGCATTCCACCAGTAGGCCCACCACCTGCAGGGGGAACCATGAGGGACCGGTGCATAGGGGATTGGGCAGCAGTCGGAGGCCACTCACAGGCTCTTAAATTATATCATTGTAAAAAGATAGTAGAAGCTAGTAAAATGGTAAGATTGAACTTTTTCACAGCATAGTTTTCAGCGTTACCTCTATAGCTTCTCTTGGGGATACAGGATTCGTGGGGTTGCTGGTGATTATTTTTTAACTACCTTCAGATCCATATGGCTCCTCCCATATAGTTGTGAGTTCAGGTCTCACCGTTCTTATGCCATCCTCACCCCATGAGGACAGACCTTGTATTGAACTCCAAATGGTTTTGCATTTGATTTCAATTTCCCAGTATTTTCTAGTGATGTCCTGCTCCATTGGAGCAAGGTCTTCTGTCTTGTCACTGATTTCCTTTGGTAGTGCTGCTCTTGTCCAATTGGAAAAGAAGACATTGAATTTAGATCTGCACAAGACAAAGTTCAGGGTTTCTGTTCTGCAGTCCAGAGAACATTACTATCGCCATCTCTTTCTTTCATATTGCAAGCAATAATCTGTCATAGGCTTTTGGCAAATTAGCCATTGAGTCATTTCTTTTTAAAGCCTTGTGTTCTGCAGAGATCTAAATTAGTCTTTGGCCCGGTCTGGGACTGTCAGTGAAGGAATGCGGCTTACACATCTCTCCAAATGAAGCCCACATGTTTGAAAAGTCAAACATGGCTCAGCTTCAACTTCTTTGGCTCAGGCCATTTTCTCCTCCCCATTTTTCACCCTCTACCTACCCCATCCTCCATGAGCGTGTGAGAACTCGTCTAATCTGGTCACCAACTCGTCAACCTTTGTCTGCTCTCGGTTTTATCAACTGAATCTCTTCAGCTGCAGAGATCCAATCTTTCTTGGTTTTGCATGTTAACAAAACCTCAATGATTCCCATCATTTCACCAGTTTTTTCTTTCTTTTTTTGCGTCTCCCACATCCCAAGACTTTCATATCTACTGGTCTGCTATGCATTCTATGACGTCAGAGATTAGGAGGATTATGAGGAGCAGACACATTGAGCTTGGCTAGTGAAATGTCTTCCCCAGCATTATGCCACTATACTGAAAGCCTCTGAGTGTTTTCGTAGTGATTTACTGCCTTTGATTTGCAGCCCAGCCGTTTCTCCTCACCTGCTTTACTCCTTTCCCATTTTGGCCCACTCTGCTTCATATTTCACTTCTTTGGAAAGCCGCACTAAGGCTGAGAAATTGACGCAGATTTTAACGAGGGGACCACCGTCAGAGGTGATGATGTACCGTTCTCCACGTTGCTTCTGCTGTTTATCTTTTCATCTGGTGGAAAGTGATCAAATACAGAGAGAAATCTGCTTTCACCGTGAGGAAGGTGAACACTGCCAGCGAGAACGCTTTGCTCATGTGTTTCATCTGTGAATATGAGGTGTGGGGTTTTATGCCTGTTAGCAGCCCTGTCAAGGAGCATTGAAAAGGCATTTAACTGATTTTAAACCTTCAGAAGCAACTTCTGCAGTCCTTTGAACACTTTACAGCCAGCCAGTAGCTGCTTTGAAATGCATTTTTCGTTCTGCTGAATACATTTTTTCCTATAATTTATATGAATGCTTTTTTTTCAGCATTTGTAAGTAAGCTGGTTGGAGTTATAGTTAAAAAAGATGGAGATAAATGCAGACCATCCCTAAAGAAGAACTGATAGAGGCCAGAAGAGACTTGAGACTGGAGCAAAAGTTGACTCTACCAGAACAACCATCCTAAATAGACAAGAGGGCCAGTGGAACACAATGGATCAAAGCTTATTGAGTTAGGACGGTCCATTCAAACTCATTTGGGAATCAGCACAGATGGTACAGTTTGCATAAAACAGAGGTCTGTGACCGCAAATATTATAAACTACTAAGTGTTGGCCGGTGTTGCAAGTAGCAACATTACATAATAGCATTAGTAACAGTTTGTTTGGGTATCGGAGTAATCTAAAAAATTACTTTAAAAAAAACGTATAAAACTGTTATGCTACTTGAAATGTTTTCCTGCACGTTACTTTAACTTGATCAGTCAAAGCGGCTTTTCATAAGTGCAGTCTCTGTGCTGTAGAGAGAAAGATCCTTTACTGCAGAGATTGAGCAGCAGCTGAGATACAGGCTTATGATTGGCTGAGGGGATGGATGTGGGCTGTTGTTCAGCATGCAGTGGTGACTCTCAGAGAGTAGATACATAAGGTGATGCAGAGCCAATTATTGCATTTCTATACTGGATTTGCTCGTTAAATTTTGAAACAAAGACTTTATTTACGTTGCTTAAACGCTTCTTAACCCCTTAACTTCCTTGTCAGTCTCCAGCCTGCATTTTGTTGAGCAAATGGTCAACATTTGTTTGACCAGGTAGTCAAAGGGTTCATCTAATGAAGCTCCTCACCTCGTCTTACCCTTAACAGCACTAACTTACAGCCAACTAATGTTTTAGCTCATTAAAACATTGCTTCTTACCTCTTTAGTGCTGTACAGAGTTCACTTGCATTGCATAGGCTACTATTTTTGTTTTCTTTACATTGTTTTTGTTATGGAACAGTGACTCCTGTGTAATTTTATTCCAAACTGTACTTAAAATATTGCTTTACATGTATTATTTTATACCTTTACTGTTATGATTTTTTCCCAGGTGAAGCATGTTAGTGTGCATAAAATTTAAAATAGTGAACATAATAATTATAGTATATTGTTAATGAAGGTCTTGGCTGACTGGTCCCACCATACGAACCAAAATAGTGAAGATCTGTAATTTTTCTACAGCTAGATAGTCTTTTTGATTAATTAAGTGTATATTTTGTTAAATAATTTTAAACGTTTTATATTGAGAAATTGAACTCCCAGTATTTAAAGTTCTAATAACAGAAGAATCATATAAACTTGAAACTAGTAACTTTGATAGGGCCACTATCTCAGTTCATATCTTAATTATGAATATTGTAATATCTTGTTTTTTTATTTATTTAATATTCCAAACAATGGTTTTGACTTAGGGAGGGTATTTACGGATACATGCCATACTTTCAGATCATAATTTACAAAAAAAAAACTAGAATATCATATTCCTTCCACTTCAGTTCTGTGTTTGTTTTGTTCTGCATAACATTTAACCCTGTTAAAGCTTTTTTAAACCTGTTATACATGTACGGTATTTTTTTGTTCTTTAAATTAATATCGTAGCAGAAAAACTTAATAGACTTAGTGTATCTTTGCATGAATGAGCTGTTAAAGCCTCTTTTCATTTTTTGCCACATTTAACTTTTTTCTAGCTAAGAAAAAGCAAAAAAAACTAAAACCTTGATGCTGGAGCTTGTTTAGCAGTTTCAGTTGACTAAATTGTTCTTTCAGCTCTGCAAAATGAGGCCCAGATGAGCATAGACTTCACCAGTCAACAGTCTGCCTACTGATCCCACAGGGGACGCTGCTGCTCCTAAAATTACACCCTTCCAAACTGTCATTTCCTTTTACAAAACAGTTTCATTGGGACAAATTAGCACAGATAGCTAACATATGGGCCACAAAAGGAGGGGAGGAGTGGTAGAAAGTGAGGGCTGAGCAAAGTTTATGACCATTAGTTTCTTTTTTTATTGCAAGATACATGTAAATGAGCTTTTATGGGTTTGTTGAACTCAAGAATGTTATTAGTTTAATGTTTCTAAAAATGTTTTCTCATGTCTGTCCAGAGAAAAGGGTTTGTAAGCAAATAACACTATCTCCCACACAGCCTTGCCCTCTTTGTTCATCTAACGGATTTCAATTCATTGTCTCCTTTTTTTCCCCTGTATATCAGTTAAGAGCAGGATTCTTAACTCTAGATAGTTGACCCCTTGCTACCCGTCTTGCTTTGACTTTGTTTAACCTCACACAGATCTATGCTCTAACTGATCTAACTGCAAAGATTTCTTTGCGAGCTCTGCACTGGTGGCAACATAGGCATTCTCTAAGCTTTGCTGCCAAACCTCTCACCTTAAATTTCCTGGTGCTCCAGTAAACTGTTTTGTCAGCTACCATATTCTTGGCAGCAGTTTCACTCACGTGACGCCATTATAATGCTAAAACTACAAGAAAGGAATTCAAACCCATCTTCTGAATAGATTGAGTTCAGGAGTTAGAGAAGCAGAAATCAGATCAGCGCATCGATAAGCTTTTAGCAACAACATGAACTTCCACCTTAGAAACTAAAGCCAAAAAATACATTAGTGTTAAAAACTACTTTGACTGTAGTTATGTGCCAGAGATGAGGATAAGTAAAAATTCTGTTTTTTTCTGAATAGGGGTTGTGGTTTGTTTTACTATAAGTGGTTGAACTATGTCTGCTTTAACTAAAGAGTAAACAAAAGCCTTGTGAAATTACCTTCTTCCTCCAGTAAGTCTTACTCTGCCCCTTCCAGTCTGTCTTATCTCATTCACGTCTTTGGTCATGTCCTTCTCCTGTGTCAGCTCTGGCTCTGTTATGACACTGGAGAAGGAAAGCCTATCAGCTTGTAAGCAAGGTTAATTTTAGCTTTACTCTCAGGGTGACAGGCCATACTCAGCATTACCGCTGGACGCTGCGAGCGACCATGGGAGGGGGATGTGTGCGGGTGGGCAATAACAAAACGTCGCGTACCATTTCCTGCCTGGTTGGGTAATGAGTTAAAAATATTCCAATTCAGGTTTATCGGTCATCTACCAGCCCAGGAGATGTTTGTTTTTTGAAGTTTGCAATAAGACATGAAGCTGGGTGAGGGGAAGGAGAAAAGGGAAGCTAGATTACATAAGATATAAGCAAAAATAGAACCCAAATCAAATAAGCCATGTTTATTATTTCAGAGGGTTGAACTATCAGTGATGTACTGTCATCAGAAAACACCACGATAAAGTCCTAGAGTTCCTTAGAAACAGCTTCCTGGTGACCTGAGGGGTTTAGATGAATATGTTTGACAGGCAATTCTTAGGTTTGCAAAACAGGAAGTCACTGTAATGATGTGATGTTATCCCTTCATGGTGTTGGTCAAGGCTCAGCAAAAACTTTTAGCTTTATGCTGATGGTAACATAAAGGTCATGATGAGTAATGTTTTCCAAATTTGGTTTATTTCAGTCCAAAAAAAAAAGAAAACAGACTCTTTCTGCCTTAAACTGCTGACTGTGTCACAATGAAACTACATCATCAGCAAATCTATATGAGGAGATGTTTCTGCTCTCCATAATTTGAGTTTGTGGGCTCATGTCAATATTGAATTAAAGGGTTTTTAGAACAGAGCCTTGAGGAACCTCAAATGTCAGGTTGTATTAGACAAAGGCCTGTAGCCAGTCATTATTGACGAATTCTGATTTTGCAAAAACTTTCATCTCTGTAACGGTATAAAAACAAAGAATCTTCAAACTCTTTAATTTGTCGCCTCATTTTTATTTAACAGATGCAGTTGCTCCGCCGTGTATCGTACCCGAGAAATGGCGGCCAGGGCGCTCGTCCCCTTCGTGCTGCTCACCCAGGTCCCCTCCACTGTTCATTCTTTGCTGCAGGAGCTCCCTCCAGAACCAGGACCCAAAATCCAACACAACCACATCCATGGCACTCTGCTGCAGGTCTGCTCCCACACACCCACATCAACACAAACCAGTTCACTCATACTGGGAATATACAGTGCTCACAGTAATCATAGGTTGTTTAAACAACCACAAGTTCTCAATTAGAGCTGAAATCAAAACTTCAATCATAAGCCTGTCAGGATACTGTGTGTGTCTCAACAGGACAGTTTATGAGTCAGAGTAAGGTCAAGCTGGAATAGAGGCTTCGATTTCAGCCTGTGGGGTATTCCTTCCTCATTAGCCATAATGCAAGCATGCAAAAATGCAAGCAAATACAGCTGGGTGATAAAATGACCAAAATGTACAAATAGGATATTGTTATATTTTTGGGGGTGGCTGGACTTTAGGAAAGCATCTCCTCTTTGGTTTTTCTGGATCAGCCAAAAGTTAAGCCATCCTCTTCGTTACATTCTAGGTGCTTTTTATAAGGAGGTTTTTCTAGACGCATCATACAGGAAAGAGGCCCTGAACCAGATGCAGAACTAGTTTTATTGTCTATATATTCCATGATACCTTTTGATCACCCAAAATGAGCTGCAGTGTGTCCCAATAAGAAGACAAGGAGATTACAGGTGGTCTTAACAAAGGTTTTCTAAACTTGTGTGTTAACAGCTAACTTTAACGTAACACCATTACAGATTAAACCCGGTTTATAAAGCGTTCTGCCTCGTCTGTAGAATGAAGTTTATCCGCTGATGGAATTTAACTCCGATGACAGAGAATATGAAAAAACTAGATGGTGTGAAAGGTGGTTTAACGTAAATTGTTTCAGCCACACTATGACTGTAGTTAGAATAGGAAATGCAGAACAAACCTAAAGATTCCCCCCAAAACATCTACAGGCAGACGGTGTAAAACTTTTCCTTTGTCATTTACTGCTTCAGCCCTCAGATTAAGTTAAATGGAAACGTTGTTGTGACAAGAAAATAAAAACATCCTCATTACTTTTTGGAACCATGAGAAGAGATGTTGAACCTGGTGTTGTATTTGATATCCTAGATATCTAACCTACATTTGTGCTGCAAAAGAGTTTTTAAAATCTATAAATCTATTACTTGTGGTCGGTGGGCAGCATTGGTGCAGAAAATATAGATTCAGATTAACCAATCCAGATTAGCTGCTTTCGGAGGAGCAGTGAAGATAAGTCCTCGAATGTGGCAAGAAGCAATCGGGCTCCTACTGTCTCAGAGCAGCTTAATCTCAAACCAGTGCTGCAATCAACAGCAGTTTGCCTTTACTTAATCTGCCTGTTAGAAAAGCTCAAATCAGACAGAGCTTCCAATTACAGTTACTGTCTGATAGAGAAATGTCCCACAGTCTAAGCAAACACCAGTTAAATTACTTTTTTTGCTGCCTTACTTTTGTATAAGGTATTACTCTGACTGCAGACATCTTGCATTTTCCATACTGTGTGTGGGTTTTACACAATACATTCATTTCGATTGTTGATATTAATGCACTTCTGTTTTAAATTAAACTCTCAGCCAGTTTTTGCTTCCCAGGTAAGATGGTTACTGTTTATAGTAAGGCTGCAACTAACGATTTTTTTGCTAATTGGTTAATCTGTCACTAATTTGTTCGATTAATAATTGGATAGAAAAAGATGCCTTAAAGAATAGATACAGTATATAAACCAGCTGAAGCTAAAAAAAGGAGCATTTTCACTACAAAAAAGGTTTCAAATCCTACATTTTTGGCTCTCAGCATGTCACTCTTTCTGCTAATGGGATTTGTTACCCAGTATATTCCAGTTTAAGATTTATCAGTTACTAGATTTTTTTTTTCAATCCGATTAATCGGATTAACTGTTTCCCCTCTGGTTTATCAGCTTTTAACAGAAAATTGCTTAGAAATATCTGAAGTATCCTTTGAAAGACAAAATTTCCTTCAGTCCTACAGGGACAGTATCCCCTCAGAGCTTATCCAGACACAGCGGCTATCACAGAGTAAATATCCATGTTTAGTTCTGTCATCGCACCCTGACAAAACACAACCAAACAGTCTGCCTGTAACATCAACACTGCCAGAGAAAAAGGGGAGAGGGAGTTTCCCCGAGCCTTTTATTGAATGCAACTGATGGGGTCAGTGGGCGTGGTGCGGTACGGATCCGTACCCAGGGGTCGACGCAAAGAATGCAAACTGCAGCAGTTTGTTCAGGAAAAGACGTGGAGTGCATTGCTCGATAGCGGTCAGGACACCAGGGAGGTCTGCTGTGGGATGGAGGGATAGATAGATGGATGAAGGTAGAGGGAGGGTGGGTCTCATAAAAGCCTAGAGAAGATTTTAGGGGGAGAGTGGTTTTTAGTTTGTCTTTCTGTCATGGCTGCCACGTGTGGAGACTCCCCAGATGTCTCCTGATGTAGTCCACCCTGGTTCATCAGTGTCTGTTTCCTCCCTTGTTCTGCATTTCTCTTCTCCTTCTTTGATATTTAAACCTTCTTTGTTCTCCTCTAGCTTCTACATCATTTAAAATTGCTTCACATAATCTCTTTTTCAGATGTATTATAAAATGAAAGAAAAATCCAATATTTCTTTTAACAAAATCCCTACTTACAAAACAATTTAAGGTTAAAGGTTTTGTATTATCTATTAACTATTACTATCAAAAGAGTAGAGGAAGTCATGCTGGGGTGCTGGGGAACTGAACCCCATAGTAATTGCTTCAAGGGTCGTAGCCTGTGTATTTGATATCCTGCCGCAGCACATGGGGCCTTTTTGGGAGCTTCTCATTGGTTGAATTTCAGTTTATTAAAAATTATATTGTAAAGAAAGATAAACATAAGACATGCAAGAAAAAAAATAAAACAAGCAGAAAGAAGAACAATAGTTAAGTATAAGAATATGTGCATATTAGAAGTTAGGAGTGTACTATTAATTTTAGACGACCCGTCTTCCAGCTGTAATGTCCTCCAATCCACATTAGCTGTTTCAGCAACCAATTATCATGGGGTTTTGAGCAGCTTTTAAGATATACAAAAAAAATAAAGTAATTCTAGAAGTTTTTCAGGCATTGACTTTATGCTTTGCTGTAATAAACAGGGGAAGTAGAGGTAAATAACTAGCATAGACCTCAGATCAATATCAAGGTCTTAACTTTGAACCAAACAGGTAGCATTATTTACAGAGAATGTAGCATAAGGTGGCAAAATTCAATAAAAATGAAAACATACAGGGTTTCTGCGGGTCATTAAAAATCCTTAAAAGTCATTAAATTATTATTCTTTAAATAAAGGCCTTAATTGGCATTAAAACTCATTAAAATTGTTTATAGTGGCATTTAAAATACTTTATTAAAAAAAAAAAAAAAAAAAAAAAATCATTGATAGAAACAATTTCAACTGCTTGCAGTTGATCGTAAAGCCGTATGTTCGGAAAAGAAGCTCGAGGCGGAAAAAAAGCTACAGGATGGAAAAATGCAAATTTCAACAGTACAATGCTTTCCTGCCTGCATGCCGTTACAAACAAGCATCATATGTCAATATATAGTTATACAATAAAGGCCCAAATTTCAAAGTAGAAAAACAATGACAATATTGTTAGCAGTAATTAAAACAGTGCTCATTTTTCCTAGAGGTATAAATATGATCTAATTTCCTTTAGTTGGTCTTAAAAGTGAGAAAAATACAAAAACATACAATTAAATAAGGTTGATCGTATGTTATGAAAAGGCCAAAAATAAAAAGTGACTCCTTAGAGTAATTTATCTACAGTCAGGGGAGAAACTTGAAAGTTAAATTCAACTGTAGCTGGGTTAACCAGGCTGGATGATTATTTAGGTGCACTTGGTTACAAATCGACGTCAGAGATGGTTTAAGATGTAAAGAAAGTGGCATTTTTAAATCGCAAATGTATATATATATATATATATATATATATATATATATATGTGTATGTATATATATATATATGTGTATGTATATATATATATATGTGTATGTATATATATATGCATGTAAAACTAAATCCAAGTAAAGTGATACGTGGCGTGCAAAAATGGTGCATAAATGTCAATTACGGGGGGGGGGGTTTGAATCACTTGAAAGGCGTTAAACTGCTATTCTGTACTACCAACATATTTTAATGTTTAAAGTCTGATAAAGTCAATTGGGAATTCAACTGGCATTTTTGTTTGATTAATATTAAAATATTTCTTTCTGCCACAGACTTCCCGGGTTGGCCTGGTATATGGGAAAAATAGGAAGGAAGGAAAGCTCCTCAAGCCCTAAATTAAGTACAGTCTAGGATCTGTCATGCTGTGGGACTGCTTTTCTTTCAGCAACTATTTATTGCCGCTTACATCCGGATGTCCTGAACATACAGTATGGTAAAATAATCCCAAATATGGTTTGTCTGTTATAAAGTCAACCTTCTTCCATCTCAACTTCAGACCTATATATGTCAAGAACTACTGCTTAAGTTGCTTAGTTCTGAAACAAACTATTTAGTAATCAAACATGGCATCTAGAACATTTAGATTGTTTGTCTCCGTGACTCAACATTTACCCTCTTCCACCACTAAATCTAGCTCATAGTCAATTTGTCACCACAAGCAAGAACTGCATCCTTTTCCAAGGAAAACATTCAAACATGAAAACAAGCAATCAATCCCCATCCGTACACCTTACTGTTTCATTCTGTCATATCTTAATTAACATAAGAAAGTGAATAATATCATACATGTCTGGAAAATTCTATAAAAATGTCCAAATAGTTGTGACCTCTTGGCCACCAGGTGTGTTTATCTGTAGAAACCGTCTGCTGCTGCTGCATCAACAACATACTGTAATCCATAGACAAGATTTGTGTATTTTACTTGTCGTCATCAGAGAGTTTACGTTTGGCTCTCTGCAGACTGCTGTGTACTGAGTAGCATGTTGCTGTACATGTTTGTTTGTCGCTCACGTACACAGCGTAGCACAGTTCTCCAAGCATACTCCAACCAGGTATAACAAATCCCTTCTGTGCATAACGCTGCTTTAAAGTGAACTATTTTACAG